CGGCAAATATGCTACACATAAAACAATATTAAAATCAAATACAATTTTTGACTTAAGCCTGAACCAAATAATATCGTCAACACCTTTATCTGAAATGTCAACATCAAACATTTCTAGAAGAGAGTTTTTGAAAAAAGCTCCAACACCCCCTGACCCCCGCTTCGCTCGTTTGTTGATCTTCGTTCTATTGTTACCAATCCATGTATACCCATTCACAGATAAATCACGCTGATCACGGAGAAAAGTCTCACAGACGCCAAAAACGTCATAGTTTAATGATGTAATCAGAGCTTTTCTAAAATCACTATTAGGATTATTCACGTTCGACCAACCACCGACATTCCAAAATCCCAGCCGCAATACGTCCTAATTGACTGAAACCAAGCGTTTTCCTTGGAATCGTAAGGCACCTTGTTTTCCACATTCTTTAATCTGCTTGTTGATATTTGATCGTTGGATAAGTTCTGATTGAGAGAGCGCATTCGCAATGTACACATCCGAAAATTTCTTGCTGCTTTTCAGATTCTTCTTGCACTGAAGTAACTTTTTCTTCTGTTCTTTAGTTTCCACTTGAAAAACGATGAGACCTGGTTAGTTGTCGTTCCGTTTTTTCCGTGTTGCACGTGTGGCATGCACATCTGTCAATTTTAACCCGTCCTTGAACACCTGATTGACAGCTTGGCGGGTGGCGTCATCGTTTTCTTGTTTACAAACAGGAAGGTTCATCATGACGAGTTCAAGGTCGTTGGAATTTCCATCATGGGACTTGACAACATCAGAGAACTTTAATTCAAGGGTAGAAACCTTCTCAGTCATACCATCATTAACCTTAGTGTTTTTAGTTTGTTCCTCTTTCTGTTGCTTTTCTATATCTACAATTTGGCTTCTAATTGTTTTGATTTGGTTATCAAAGTCTTGTTTAATTGATTCAGTTTCTTTGCGCACTATTTCACTGAATTGTACAAGAAGTCTGGTTTCTAAGTCTTCGAATCTCTGGTTAATACCGTTGATAGCCTTCAGAATTGTATTGTTAACATTGAGCACATCTTGAATCGAGGCAGTGTCACTGTAAACAATGGTATCAATCACTTTTGCACATGTTTCACTTACTTTGTTTTTTCGCTGATGATGGGGTACACAGGTCCATTTCGCATTCCGTTTGTGCGGCATACACTGCTGTTGGTTGAGGCAAAACAATGTCTGCATAGTCCCTCGCTTCCCTAAAATCGGCCATTGTTCATTCAATCCCACGTGAGAAGTTTTCCGATAATGTCAATCACCAATAGTGTCAAAATTTTGGGTATTCTGGCTGACAAATGTTCATATATTCGTAAATTGTACTGTTATATGACCTGTACATGATTATTTTTGACTCACGATGAAGGATTGACTGGATATTGTTCGATTCAATTCTCCATTTATCAGAGCTGAGGCGAAGCGCGTCTTGTCAGTCAGGGGCAGATAACTCATTCATAACCGTAGCTACGATAACTTTGTGGAACAGACGCCTGAATTCTGAAGGTGGACTGTTGTATGGTATTAAATTCATACGTTTCAATACGTGTTTGAAGTATTATTCTGTGAAACTGAATTGGATTATGCCGTGGGTCGTGTAGGTGTCAGCCTATTCACACTCAACAGGATAATTCGAAAAACGTTATGAATGGCAAGTAATAAATAAGATTCTAAACTCGCTCCCGTGTAAAACCAATTCTATGAAAGTTTTATAATATTTGTGGTATCTGACGAGCGAAAGCTCGTTTAGTATTCTATAGGTAGCTTGCAAACAATTTTCTGACTTACTTGCTTGGTTTGATATTGGGGAAGTTTTGGCAGTATTGTTCGGGGTCTTTATTTTCGAGATCCGCTGGGTTGATCTGTTTGCAGAGTGCTTTCAATTTGTCCCAGTCTGCCTTGTTGTAATTGAATTTTGGTTCTTGGGGTTCATTTGGGGTTTGGATATTTATGTTTCCTATGGTTATGTGGATTGGAAAGTGGTCGCTGCCGAGTGGCTTCTCATGCACTTCCCACTAAGTGCTTTCGGCGAGATCAGGGGTACAGATTGTTAGGTCTATAGCCGACATATTTTGATTAATTGTATCATATCTAGTTGGTTGGTTGTTCTTTAGTAGTATTAGGTATTTTGTTCTATCCATTCGGCGATATGTTTGCCGTTTTGGTCTGTTTTATCTTTAACGCCCCAGGAGGGGTGGTGGGCGTTGAAGTCCCCTAAAAAGATGGTGGGTTTATGGCTCAGCTTTTTTAGGGTTTCTAAGTCTTCTGGTTTACTGTCCAGTTTGTTTCACTGTCCAGTTGTATATGTTTACAGTGTTTATTTTTTGGTTGTGATGAGTTATTTGTATACGATTAGCTTTTAGATTTGGGGTTTTAATTGGTATGTCTTTATGGTTTATGTCCTCCCTGATATATATGATTAGGCCACCGAGTCTTACCGAGTTATAATTAGGTAGGGTGAATTTAGATTTTGGGGAGAAGTGGGTTTCCTGAATGCATATGATATGAGGACCAAGGTTTTTCCGAAACATAATTTTTAATTCATGGCCGTGGGCGGCCAGTCCATTGGCATTCCACTGTAATATCTGTAGTCCTTCCATTATTGAGAGGGCTCCGAGTTTGGGGATTAAGTTTTGTTTAGGCGTAGGTTGTTGTGGTTTCTATTTTGAGATTACTTTTAATGTGTTATTGAAGTATTCAAAGAAGAGACTAGTAAGATTAAGTTTGGAAGCCACTGTGTGAAAGGATTTAATGTTGGCGCCTGGGGTGTTTTGTTTGAGCATATATGCTAGTAACATTGTAAGGTTGTTTAGGGTTTTAAATTCTGTCTGGTATGCTGTTTTATGGTTATGTTGTTGTTGTTTGTTTGGGGTTTGTTGTTTTGTTGTTGTTTTTGTCTTTTTGTTGTTGTGTTGTGTGTTGTTTTTTTGTTTTTTTGTTGTTTTTTTTTTGGGGGGGGGCGGGTGAGGAAGACATTCAATGTGTCGAGAGGGTCATATTCTGTTGTGAGTGAGTCTTCTTCGCTTATGGTTTGCGATGAGGTGTCCATGTTGGTTTGTTGTGTGTTGCTGTTGTGTTTGTTTGTTGGTGATGGTGGATTTGGAGGCTTCGATTTTTGGTTGTTGTGCTTGTTTGGGTCTGGTAGTTGTTGCCCTAGTGGCTGTGGTGTTTTGGGCGGTCGTTCTGGGTATGGTGCTTGCTCTGTGGCTTGTTTTGCCTGCGGGTGTAGATGTTGTGGCGTTGTGGTGTCTGGAGAACTCTGCCGTTAGAGATCTCCTGGATGTTGGTGGGTTGGGTGCAGTGAATATATTTTCGGTGGGTATGTCCAAAACAGATCTCTAGATTTTATGTTTTCTAGATGTTGTGTGTGTTGTTGTGTGTGTTGTTGTGTTGGTTTTGGTAGTGGTATGATGTTTGTCTGTGGTGTGGGGAGGAGTGGTTTGGACGTGCGTGGTGCTGGTGTTCTTGTTTGTAGTATGTGTTTGTTTGCCTGTTGGGGGAGGGTGTATCTGTGGGGGCAGTGATTTGATAGTGAAGTGTGAGTTATAGTTTTGCAGTGTATGCACCAGGGGGCGCATGATCCTGGACAATGAGGTTGGGCGCATTTTTTGCATTTGGTTATTTTAGACGTGCACTGGGAGGTTGTGTGATAATACTTTAGGCATTTAGTACGTTGTTTGACTGGTCTAGTAAAGGGTTTAACTTCTAAGTTGTTTTTGGCGCCGAAAGAGATAGTTTCTGGGGCTTTTTGAATTTTTTCTGATTTTATGAAGTTAATGATTACGGTTGGTGTAGGGTGGGATTTTCCATTTCTGGTTGTGTATATTCTGCGGGTACTGACAATTTGGGGTTGTGTGTTGTGACTGGAGTTAGCCTCTTGGGTGTATAGTGTGAGGTCCTCATCAGTGTCTCGAGGGCTGACTCTTATGACACCTCGGGTAAATGTTTGCCAGTATGGAATTTCAGTTGTGACGTTTACTTCAAAGATTTGTCTTATTTGTCTGGCTGATTAATGAAAGAAGAGTCGTCAAAATACTGTCACTTCCTGCCTAGGACATCACAACCCTACACGCTAAGGTCGGTGAGAAACCTTCCAATCAAGGAAAACAAACAGTTTTCTACAAGGACTCTCGGTATTTAGTCATAATTAATAGTTTATTACATTGATGAAGATGCATTTTGATTCAAACTCAAATAATTGAGCAAAATTATACGCTTGTGGACATTGGAGATCTGCCGAGGTATGCTTGTTGCGTTTTTATTATTCTGAAATCCATTTTAGGCCTGCTGGCCTGGCTCGGCCCGACTTTTCTTGGCCCGACTTTTAGGCAATCCCTTAACCGGTTAATCCTTTGATGGCTAGGAATGCTCCGTTGATTTACAAAAAAAAGCAAATCAACTGCTCATTCATCTCTTGCTGGGCTGCCACGTGCATATTCCATAACACACACTTCACCTCACTACAAACCTGGATTTAGATTGAATAATTACCCCAGACACAATAAATGCCAAATGGGAACCTTTATCAGGTAATCTGAGTGGTACTACTACTAATTATACCTGTAATAAATTCATTAAATGAGCATCAAGTGAATGACGATAAATACACAAGTGTTGGGTCATACCAGAAAACGTGGATGACAACAAGGGAGTAGTAATCGTATTATGGACGCAATCCGAAATCCGAAAATGCTTTCACTGCAGGGATACTTTTCGTATTACTATAACCATCAGGGGTATTTCCAAATGACGACATCCGATGAGTTTCAACCGTTCTTTTTGTCTGTTTGTTTAGGCTGAAGAAATTAATCAACATGCCCCATTTGTCGAAATCTTTATAGATCACGGGTAACCAATCAGTGTTCAAAAATGCGTAAAACAAACATTGCCTCCAAGCTTATTTACGCTGTCTTTACAGACGGTAGCCCAGTCTCTTGTCACGCTGTCTTTACAGACGGTAGCCCAATGTCACGCTCAGTTGCGTTAGCGAGCAAATCGACACACGTCAGCTTGAGAACCCGAGCGGCCAGTGTCAGACAGCCGAGAAGAAGCCAGAGATAAGTGCCCGTTAACCGCTCGCGCATGTCAACTGCTTCAGGGTTTAAAACAGGTAATCGCAGTTATGGAGGGTTATTATATTCATGTTGCAAACAAACTCCATTCAACACGATTAGGCACCAATGTCAAGCCTAAAATATGTGATGTCCGCGAACTGAAGACTGCATGTTTTTGGAGGGCGGTTTATGCCGAGTTCCTTGGGACGCTGCTGCTGACGTTTGTTGGGTCTGCATCTGTGCTCTTTGATGGCAACAAAATTACGGTAAGAAATTTGTTATGGACATATGATTATGGTTAGGGTATACATATATCATATAGCGGACCCGTGGAGATCAGGGGTAGAATAGGTCTTCAGCAACCTATGCTTGCCGTAAGAGGTGACCATACTTGTCGTAAGAGGCGACTAGTAAATGTGTTCAGATGTACATGTATGTATATATTGATAATAATTGATAATAATCATGTTTATGTGGACTGAATACGTTTAGCTGTGTACATGTCTTCACTGGGTTTGATGTTGTTTTAATTAGTATTGCGGTAACAAAGCAAGATGCATTTCTATTCAATTATCATTTACCTTTCAAAATGCTGTATATTTTCATTTAGATGAATATTGGGGTAAAAAAGCAAGATACATTTCTTTTCAATTATCATTTACCTTTCAAAATGCTGTACATTTTCATTTAGATGAATACTGCGGTAACAAAGCAAGATGCATTTCTTTTCAATTATTATTTACCTTTCAAAATGCTGTACATTTTCATTCAGATGAATACTGCGGTAACATAGGAAGATGCATTTCTTTTCAATTGTCATTTACCTTTCAAAATGCTGTACATTTTCATTTACATGAATATTGGGATAAAAACGAAAAATGCATTTCTTCCCAATATTTTATTTACTTTCCAATGCTGTACATCTTCATTAAGATGGGTATTCGGGTAAAACAGAAAGAATTATCTCTTATCAATTTTTATTAACCTTTCAAAATGCTGTACATCTTCAATTAGATGAGTATTTGGATAAAAAATGAAATATGCATTCCTTGATCAGTGTGTAAGTTTCTTGTCAAGATGTACAGCATTATCAAAGGTAAATAAAACCTTTCATAAGGCTGTACATCTTCACTTGGAAAGAAACTATTAAGACATTTCATTGTCTAAATAGAAATATTTTGTATATTTGTTTGACATTCTAACTATGAATCCTTCGAGAGCACATGGAAGCGACTTTCAGCCCAACTGAAAATTATCATAATATAAATATAACTAACAAAACCTTAATGACAGAGAAGAGTCCACACATCCGATATACACTAGACTAACCCACCGCCCAGCAACTGTGAACTATACTGATTTGAACGCGCGATATCATATGCGTGTATATATATTTAGTTGTTTTACACCTCACATGAATTACCTACCGTAATATAGCTGAAATTATATTATAACTTGCCAGTGAAGAGAAGATCCGTTTAATAAACATACAGCTGTATTACACATTTTTTAATACCAAAACGCGTGCTTATGTACTCTCGGAACACGTTTCACGAACAAATATTGAAATTCAAAGCTTTCAACATCCCTTGGCTTATTCAACGACATTGCGTGTGGAGATGATAGATAACTGAGAGGAGCTTATGCACACTCGATGACACCAGCAACCTTGTTGCTAGGCTGACGTCACATGACATTATTTCGCCGATGGATCTTGCAACCAAATTCTACAAATTACTTTGAGGTGCAAGGCCCCGTTCAACAAGGCGATCGTATTGTAGCGCAACGACAGTCGTTAGTCTACGTTAAAGTACATTGACTGTATGTGAGTTGCGATAACCGTAGCGCTACGATAACTTTGTGGAACAGACGCCTGAATTCGGAAGGTGGACTGTTGTATGGTATTAAATTCATACGTTTCAATACGTGTTTGAAGTATTATTCTGTTAAACTGAATTGGATTATGCCGTGGGTCGTGTAGGTGTCAGCCTAATCACACTCAACAGGATAATTCTAAAAACGTTATGAATGGCAAGTAATAAATAAGATTGTAAACTCGCTCCCGTGTAAAACCAATTCTATGAAACTTTTATAATATTTGTGGCATCTGACGAGCAAAAGCTCGTTTAGTATTCTATAGGTAGCTTGCAAACAATTTTCTGACTTACTTGCTTGGTTTGATATTGGGGACTATAAAGTATTGTGAGAGGATATAATCTAATCTGGAGCAGAGAAACAAGAGATTAATATTATGAGTAACGACTAATGACGTCGCCTCATATGACGGGTTGCTGGGGACCTGTTTTAACCCGGGTGCTCACGGGGTCCAACACTACAGATTTCCATGTAATATTTAACATGATAGACCGCCAGCGTGGTCTAGTGGATAGAGCGTATGTCCGCAATACGGAAGGTCGGTGATTCGATCCCCGGACGCATCATACCAAAAGAAGTTAAAAAATTATTCTTGCTGTTACCCTGCCTAGCGCTCGGCATTAAGAGGCCAAAACAAGGACTGGTCGGCTCGGAGTCAGTATACTGTGTCTGAGTGGGGTATCCATGTTGAACTGTGGCATGGTATCTCAGCAGGCTTGCACTATAACACTCTTTGAAATACTTTTGAAATACTGCATTCTCCTCGAACTTTCCGATTCTTCATGTCCTGTCTGTATATCTCAGTAGAATTGGTAATGTTCTAATTCGTCTAACTCAAACCAACATAAAACATTTGTCAACAACACAATACTTTATTGGGTGGCGTCTGGACGAAATCGAATCCTTCACGTATACACGTAGTCCGATTTCCACCTACCATGTCTTTTAAAGAGTCTGTCTGGGACTCCAGCTTCCGCAGCCTCCGTGGCTCCTACAGATCGAAATCTCCATCCCTGTATTTATCAGTTTTACTTTTCTCTAAGAAAATAGATATGTAACCCTCCTCAGACCTTCTGTCAGAACACTTTCACAACTTCTGAAAACCTTAAAAAAAAACCTGGATATGCTATAAGACAAATCACAGGGATCTTAAGTTAAACAAGCTGGCCGAATCACATCCGTAATGGTCAACTAAACTGGAGTTATAGGTTCTCTCTTAGAAGCGGGGCAAGAATCTGTTCTCAGACTGGATTCTTGAACACACTTCACTATACTTGAACTACACGGATTCCATACGCCAGCCAAGTTGTGAGCCCAACCAATATCGTACAAAGTCTCCTGAATAGCATTTGGACTTTTGTCGTTCTGATTTAGATGTTGCAAATAAAGAGCTACATGGAAATCTGTAGCTGGTAACGGGGTAACTTCAAAACTGCTCTCACCAATCTACCCACTTTTTGGCGCTTAAGCTTTCAGCACTGATTTCGATAAGTGAGCTAGAATCTGTAAACGGCCGTCCTGAAGTGGCATGCCCCATACTCCAATGGTAAACACATCATCCAGCTCCGTAGGTATTGTCGACTCTCCTTTGGTGTCACCATTCTAGTCGGCATATGAGTATTCTTGACGTCCAAAAACTGTGTGAGTGCTAGTTTTTGTCAAGCGGAGCAAGCTGTTTTCTAGCGAAACGACCCCTAGCACTAGCCCGCTTGCGTAAAGCCCTATTTTCTGCTCTCTCGAACATTCTCTCCTCTTCAGAGTTCGACGCCAAGTCGTCACCTTCTAACTCCTGAACTGTGCTCCACCCGACAGGGTCCTATCAGCTAGGCGAATAAGTTTGTTTCTCTTGTCTATGTTGCTAGATAAATTGTCCAAACCATCCATCACTTCAGAATAATTTCTCCTTCTTAGACTTGATTTCGCTAACCATACAGGGTCCAAAATGACCACAGTCGAAATTATATTGAACTGAATTCCCTTCATATTTAAACTCTGGTTTGGAATCTTTCGTCAACTGTTTGGTTCCCGAGAGCGTAAGCTGCTCCGACTCATGCAGAAAATCGTGTTTAAGTGTTTGAAGTTTATTGTCAAAGTACTGCATGAACATAATCAAAATTACCACCTTTATCTTTGTCGTTTTGAGCCGACTAAGATAAGCGTCTTCAGAATCAATGGGTGCTTTGTTGAACATATCCATGCTGGCTGACAGCGTCGCACGCCAGGAATCCGTCGCCTGTGACCAGCTTTCTGTCTCGCTCGGGCTCATCGCCTCTGTCACGTGACTTCAGCACGGACTTCTCAACAAACATTTACCTTCCCGATCACAAACCCGACCACCCAATACCGTATTACCCGTTGATAAATATTAGGATATTGGGAATGATACTGTTAAGAAATGGTAATTCAGTCATTTCATGTCGACATGTGCATGGCTATTGTGCACTCCATGTACAGTGAATGGTGTACGTACATTAATGTCATGACCTGTTGTATGGATATTGATAGAATTTTATTCAAAGTTACATTTACAAATTCCGCTGCTTATCTGGAACTCGTGACGCCAGATGTGCAAGTGCTTCTTTTGAGTGACCATTGATAAGCATTTCATTACTGAATAACGTTAATCCTCTGTATTTTGATGGATTATTGTAACAAATGATAGGTATTTACCGCGAACCACAAAACACATTGTATTGATTCAGAAACCTGGACCATATACAGAACGACCACAGCACTACAACTATTGCTGTCTATGTTAAAGTATAGGAGTTACACTGTCTATGTTAATGTATAGGAGTTACACCGTCCATGTTAAAGTATAGGAGTTACACTGTCTATGTTAAAGTATAGGAGTGACACCGTCCATGTTAAAGTATAGGAGTTACACTGTCTCTGTTAAAGTATAGGAGTTACACTGTCTATGTTAAAGTATAGGAGTTACACTGTCTATGTTAATGTATAGGAGTTACACCGTCCATGTTAAAGTATAGGAGTTACACTGTCTATGTTAAAGTATAGGAGTGACACCGTCCATGTTAATGTATAGGAGTTACACACTGTCTATGTTAAAGTATAGGAGTTACACTGTTTATGTTAAAGTATAGGAGTTACACTGTCTATGTTAATGTATAGGAGTTACACCGTCCATGTTAAAGCGAAGGAGTTACACCGTCTATGTTAAAGCAAAGGAGTAACAGTCCATGTTAAAGTATAGGAGTTACACTGTCTATGTTAATGTATAGGAGTTACACTGTCTATGTTAAAGTATAGGAGTTACACTGTCTATGTTAAAGTATAGGAGTTACACTGTCTATGTTAATGTATAGGAGTTACACCGTCCATGTTAAAGCGAAGGAGTTACACCGTCTATGTTAAAGCAAAGGAGTAACAG